GATCATGCCTCTTAAGAAGGCATTTGTCTTTAGGACATTAGTTGGGACATTTGGTCAGTCTCTTTACACTTAGAGAAATTTTGGTAAAGGGACAAATCTAGTTCTCTCTCTAGTACTTGTTGCTTCAGTGAAGAATATGTAGCTTTGCTAAGCCTCTATTTTGCAAAAGTCTCAACAACTTCATGTGTTCAAGACTCTTGAAAGCTAGGCTTCTCAGTGTTAGAAGGGATGGATCTCCTTGTTATAACAGGGTTGGATTGGGTTTTTACTTGGGTTATAGGAACCCTGAGCACCAGCTGCTTCTGACCTTGTAAAGAATCATCACTACTGCTGATCCTAGAGGAAGAGGCAGGTCTTTGGCCCCAGAGACTTATTCTTCTCCATTTTATACTTGCATGGAGTGTTTGTTCTTAATTTGACTGAGTTTTTAGGGACCTGAATCTTTATCAGATGGCTTGTTTCTCCGGGCTCTTTTTCTGATGGTTTGTTTCTCTCTATCTCTTATAAGCATTCCCATGGGGATTGCTGTTCTCAGAGTTTATGGATAGAGCTCTAGGACATGACCTCATCCAGGAAACAGAATGTTCCAGTATATGGGCCTATAGCCAATGGTTAAACAGGAAATGTTAAATTTTAACATGAAAAATGAGAGGAGGAGATATAATTACCAAAACTTTCTAATGCCTTGGGGATGTTTCATTCAGTGGTCAGTAAGGAGGTAGTCCAGGCCACCAGTTGCTTTCATGGAAAATCTGGAACCTAGGTTACCAGCCTTAGGTGACATTCTGTCACTGAGAAGCAGATGACAAAGCAGGGATCATAGAGCCAGTGTGCAGTTACTGGAGTAGGAAATGACAAAGACTGTGATGCCTCACAGCCACCCCCCCCCCTGGGGTTTTATCTCTCTGGTGATAACTGTGAAGATATCAGTCCTAGCATGTGACTTAAGGACAAGCAGCTTTTGATCCCCTTCTGCGTATTATGTGGACCTCAAGGGAGTAGTATCAGCGAGGAGTACCGACATCAAATCTCAGGATTCACAGACCAATGGCACAACAACCCGATCGCCTGTTTCAAAGTGACCAGCGCACCAAAAAAGATGCCATCTGTGGAATTTTATGGCTGCAGAACTGTGAGTCACTCTCCAAGTGAAGAGGGAATGTCTCCAACAAGGCACTCTTGAAATTAGACTTGGGTCTCCAGTCTTCCTCAGTTGGAAGAGGAAGGAAAGAGAGCATCTGAGGGCAGCGGCCTAGCTCCCTTGCTGTCGGGTGAGACCAGAGGACCTCAAGCTGCATGTAGCAGAGGGCCCAGGCGTCAAGATTGCTGGGGGGGGGGGCAGGAAGAAGGGTGAAAGAGCCACAGGTCTGTCTTCTCTCTTTCAAGCAGGTAATTCTCCTTTGATCTGTTTTACTTATGTGATAAAGGAATTTCACATTTTCAACACTAAAAGTGAGAAAACCACCATCCTGCTCCTGAAAGAAACTCCTTTGCCCAGCAGTGCTGCCTAGCCCCGGGAAGAGCTTGGGGCAGAGGCTGCGGTGGGACTCTGGATGGCCAGGGGACGTGCCACAGCTCGGGCCCCTCGTCAGACAGACTGGTTCTGCATGGAGTTCACGAAGCTCTGCCATACCAGCGTCGCTCTGAAGGCCTCAAGTTCTCGGTGCCAGGAAACACACGTCTATCCTTCCCAAGAGCTACAGCTGCACTGGGGAGAGCACGGTTACAGGGACAGAACGGTTACAGCTGCAGGGAGGAAGAAACGGGATGGAGGAGGCCTGCCAAGCAGACCCGTGGGCAGCTCTGGACTGAATGCTTTCTGGACTTCTCCGGCACATTGGGCATGAGCTCTACACTGGGCACCTGGCCAAGGGGCTGAAGAATGGACGACAGTGGACAGAAGGTCATTGGAAAGGGAAAGATATTCATGTGTCGGGCAGTGCGGTACAAGGTTAAATTGCTACAGGCTGAAGCAAAGTCAGGCTGTCCACCCATCCTCTACACTTGGTCAGCTCACAGGGTGCGGGAAACAACTTGAGAAGCAGAAGGAAGAGCCCAAGGAAGGCTGGTCACAGTGTTGAATGCCAAGCTGCTTACCAGAGATTACCAGAGAACACATTAAGTTCATAGGCCTTGTATCTGCCAAACCTGGAGTTGCCAGCTTCTGCCAGTATCAGTGGAGAAATGTGAGAGGGAAGGAGCAGGTGGCAAACTGAATGTGCAGACGGGTCCCGGGCCTCCAGCCACAGCACGAACGGTTGGTTCTCATAGCATTTCCCGCGCTTCTCCGGCCTCTCAGTCCCTCTTCAGCCTTATGAACCCTCCAAACGTGCTCTACTCCAGGGAGCTCTATGTCCCAGCAGCACATGCTGTTTGTTTCCCTCCCTCTGCCTGGAAGTAGCCACTCTACCACACACCATAGACCACTCAGGCATCCTGTGTTAGGGAATGTTGTCCTCACGCTTTCACACCACATCTCCTTGTTTTGGGCAAACATCACCAGGTAGGCTCTGCACTGCCTCGCTCCCTGCTGGGGGACCCAGGCCACATCAGGGGCACCAGACCCACCTTCTGCATGATCCTGGTCAGAATGGTCATCAAGACCACCATCCATGAGCCTCAGATCTATGCGACTACCTCCTGCATCAGAGCTGGCCCTCTTAGGTCCAGAAACTAAGAGGTGGAATTAATTTAGAGAAAGACTGTGTGGGGCTGTATGTCTTGTACATCAGTAAGGCCCAGGACATTGCACATCAGACGTATGTCTACTATCTAGACAGATAATACTCTACAAGGAAAATGAGGCTTCATTTGACTCTTCCTTGGGAACAGACCTCCCTCCCCATCCTTGACTTCCTGACCTCTCCTCTGGAAATTCTCCATTCCAAAGTTAGTGCCTTGTACTCTTTCCCCCCAGCACTGCTGGGATGTGTTTATAAATGTGAGGGCAGAGGGTTTCTCTTCCTCTCAACCTGACACCTGAGGAAGGGCTGGGCCCCCAGATTGAGGGCCAAGACAAAATACTGTGTTTGGTGAAGAAAGACTTGGCTAGTATACAGATTTACTCTGTTCTCCAATGTTTATGTCCTAGGGCTGAAGAGCTCCCAGCTTTCTGGGGTGACTTCCTTCTGTGTAGGTCCCAGCCTGGGGCTGTCTGTCCCCACTCCTGAACAGGTGCAGTTTGGGTCACACTGTCTATGCTGAATACAGCTAGTGGGATGAGAAAGCCAGGGGCTGCGGATGAAAGTCAAGGCCTGGTAGAGGGTCATTACTGAGACACATAGAGCCAGCAGTCTCTCCTTGCCACATACCTAGCTGGCCCTCGGGACTCTCCTCACCTCCTCAGTGAGCAGGGTCATGAGTGTAATCCTCTGGGGAAGGGGGATTCCACGGAGGGGAGGGGCCGCTGTCTCTGTGGTGACTCGGGCAGGGACTCCCTTTGGGGTGCTGATGGGTACAGCGTGGAAGGAGTCAGCCAGCCAGCTATAGGGAGGGGATCCCCAGTGTCCTCATACCAACTGAAGCTCCTTTATCATGATGGAAACAGGGCTGGGGGGAGGAGGTCAGGGGAGATGGAGCAGTGATTCCTCCAGCACCCTGACTCTTCGCCTGTTTTCTTCCAATGAAATTCTTTACATCATCCTCCCCAGTTTCAACCCCTCCCCTCTCCACCCCCGCCCCGCCCTGGCCCTGTGCCCATCCCTGCTGGCCACTGGGTCCATAGCCCAGGAGCCGCCTCCCCTTTCTCCTCCCCTGCGGTTCTTTCTGTTTTTCGTTGGCATCTGTCCGGGCATAGCCACCACCCTCCCTCTCACTCTCCCCACATCCCTTTGCTCCGCAGAGGTCCTGTCCCCTCTCCCCCTAACGCCGCCCAGCCCTCCTCTGACTGGGCAGAGAAGACTGAGGATGCATTCCGTTAGTCCCTCCACTGCCTGCCCTCCCGCCTCAGGGGACCTGAGGCTCTGAGCCGTGGCTCTCTTCCTGGGCTCCCTACAAACTGTCCCCCACCACCCCATGAACCGTCAGCAGCCTTTAAGAAAACCGAGGGGCCCCCACAGCGCTGACCTACATAGCTGGGTCCAGGGCGGGAGGGGCTCTTCCCCAAGTCCCCTCGCCCTGGCCCCGCCTCCCTGCTCCCCCCACTCTCTTCCTTGTCTCTTCGCTTACAAACCCAAGAAGGCTTGAGTTCCCACCTGGGGCAAAGGGGACCAGGCGAGCTACCCCACCCCTAATCTGGCAAAATCAGTGCTTAGCCCAAGACAGCTTTGGGTTTTCTCGGCATCCTCCTTCCCAAATGTCTTGATCCTTCCTTTTGCCCAACCTTCCCCCACCTCCTCCGCTCCTGTCTGGGTTTCTTTTCCCAGCTGCTGCCACCGCTATAGGGATACTGCCATCCTGGGGCCCCCGCCCTGTGTTGTTGTTTTGCTCCAAGGAGAAGCCCCCCCCTTCCTTGCCCACGCCCCCCTCGGCAGCCTCACCCAGGCCCCCTTCCCTGCCCACTCGGAGCTGCGCCGCGGGTGGGGGCGGGCGGGGGGTGGGCAGCGGTGTTTGCATTCGGCAGTTTGGGGGTTTGCACTGGCTATCCAACCCCTCAGACACATACACAAACCCCCGACACACGCCCTTACTGAAACGGCGACAGATCTCACTCCGCCCCCAACACACACTGACACAGACATACACACAGATCCTGACACAGAAACACCAACACAGACGCGCACACCCAGACACGCACACGGACAGCGGCACAGCCAAGCCGGGCCGCACCGAGCCGAGCGAGCCCGGCGCACACGCACACAGCGAGGCGTACAGCAGGTGCGCAGCCGGCCACCCCAGCCCCGCACCGACACGGATGCCCGGGCAGAGCCACCCGGTACAGCGGCCGCGGCGACTCGAACCGCCGCTCCCAGACAAAGCCCGCGGGCTCCCCCGCCCCGCTGCGATCGGAGCCCCCGCCCCGGTCCCCCACCTCCCGGCGCAGCCCTCCCCCCCAAACTCACCGTCCTGGGAGAGGTTGGCCCCGCCGGGCGCCCCGCAGCAGGCCAGGAGCAGCAGCAGGGGCAGGGCGGAGGGGCCCCCCATGGCG